AGTTTGGGTTATGTTGCTTAGTAAAAATACTAATTACTATATTTTCATTATATTCATTCATTGTCTTTTTTTAACTATTCAAAATTACGAGTAGATATCGCATGCAAGATAAAGCATTTTAAAATATTCTTATAATATTCATGACAGTAATTCAATTAATTATAAATGTTTGTGTTACATTTTACTAAGACTTGTTTTTATTCTTGCAATCCTAATTCTATGTTCCCTATTGAAATATTTACCGAAAACGTGACGACAAATTGTGATAATAAAAGATTCTTAAAAATTCTTCATAATAGTTTTGACCAGTGGGTGAGGTTGTCATAATAAATGAAGGGATGCTAAGAAAGTACTTATAATATACATAAAATGATAAAATTTTAGTAAAAAATAGATAGTTATCACATAAAAAATTCACATAAGCAGCAGTATTCTTAGACATGTCATATGGGTATTTATAAGTCGAATTTGATCTAAGAAAAAAAAAATATCTTGAGACTAAAGTGACACTGACATATACAAGTAATACTTTTTTCGATGTACAATTTGATGCAATTAACTAATAGGGACCAATAATTGTTTTGGACGTGTACTAAGCATTGCCGTAAAACATTTTTGTGGTTCCAATCATGTGATCTGAGGCATGAGATGTTCCCCTAATCTGTTCTTTTGCACTTGTTTATTGTACTCAATAAATGTCAAAATCACTATAGAACAACAGTATACTTCTCCCTTTGGAATAACATATAATGCTGGCTTTCAAAGTACCTTAATAATTCTTTGCATTATAAAGGAAATAAAAACTTGCTCCTTTCTTTCTCTTCGGGTAGACAAGCTTTGTGTGACCTGTCCGCTCAACCAACATGTAGAGCCATATTAGTAATAACCTGGACCTGTAAAGACCCAACATCCATGTCAATAATTATTCATCGTTTTTTGTCCTTAAGGATCACCATTATCTTAATCTTTCAGGTCTACTATCCTATGTTTTAGTAAAGGTAATGTTAAGTAGAAAAGTTACATGTACACGATGCAATTACTTTTAAGATATTCTTGTGCCTTATCATATTTAAAAAAAAGCTCTGTTTTATTAAATAAATATTTATCACGATAAAATCAATTTCGCCAGTAGATTTTATATTATAACTTGTAGAAGGTGTGAAAAACTTTGCAGTTAAAATTGTAAGAAGCGTAAGATGAAATGGCATGGTGAAGTTATTTATGTTCTAAGCATATCTGGAACTGGAATGAAAAGAGAAAGGTAGGGACTGTGAAGTGAAGGAGCATTGAAAGATTGAATAGAAGAAAAATCCATAGATGGGGACACATCGTAACTTGAGTGAGAGTAACCTTTCAATCAGATATCATGTGGATTTGGGAAGACAACATTAGAATCAAATAAAGGGAAAGGAAGAGAGTCCAAACTGTCCAACTTGCATTTGGTTAAACAGAAAAATTCGCCCATCTAACCTCATTTCCACTTGGCTTCACGGGGAACTCTCACAACAGACAAGCTACTGCGTGGATCTCCATGATACCCATTTTATTTCTTAATTCATTCATTCAATTATTATTTTAGTGTTTTGCCTTTTAAACTAAATTATTAGTTCATTGTTTGGTTCCGTATAGTGACCAGAAGATTCTTCTATTAGGATACTACTTCAAGGACCAGCCATTTTGACCAAGAACCATAAACTTATTATATACCCTTTTTCCTTTTTATAAAGGAATTGTTCAACACGCTTTTGTAAAATTAATTTAATTCCAAAAAGGATTATTTAATATTGTTATAAGATATATAAACAACTGGAAGGTGAACATATATGTATAGCTACCCATTCATCTTTCTGACATTTCTTTTATTTGTCATTTAAAAAAATATATATGAATCTTTATTTTTATTTTATTTTATCTTTGGACTTAATAAGTGATAAATATTCATAAGTTAATAATATTATTATTCTGAGTACTACAATGAAAAGTATAAAAAATAATAATTTAAGAGTTTTAGGTAAAAGAAATTGATGGAAAATCAAAATTGTTAAAATTTTAAAACAATCAAATTTAATTGGTCTTGTGTAAGTCATTGCAGTGGCTACCCTCTTAAAAAAACGCGACTATACTAAATAAGAAAAATACTAATAGAACTCTTTTTTTTTTTTTTAATGTTTTGATAAATAAACAAAATCAGGCTTGCAAATTGTATGTAGCAAGAAAAATACACGACCTCTTACAAAAAATTGGACTTTACACGGTGCATAAACTCTTCAAATCAATTTATTTTACTGTTTAATTTGACACATTTTTTTTTCAAAAGTGACTAATTTAGAAAATACTAAAAAATTTGAATAACAGCAGTACTACAAAGTATAGAATATGATTGTGGCTCAGCTTAAATAATCTTTTTATGTAAATATTTGTAGAAGAAAAATAGAATAAAATAAATATTTGTTAATTTAAAATAAACTGTTACAACTTATGTTTTTGAAAAGATATTTATAAAAATTCTAAAAAATAAACAAAATTTAATTTATAAAAATAGTTATTCATCATTTATTTGTTCTCTACTAATACTTTTACGAAAAATCATTTAAACAATGCCTTTTTTTTGTGTAAAAATTTGCTTGCTTGTACAATGGTTATGTCACGAGTTATAATAATAAAAATTTAAATTTTGGTTTTAATTATTTCATTTTTATAAATTTTTAACTATAGTTTATTTATTTATTTATTTGTTTGTAACTATTAATATTGATTTTTTTATTGACATGTTTTTATTAAGAAAACATAGAAATAAAATATAAAATCTTACAAAAATACAATAGTTAAGAATATATTCAAGTCTAAATATACCATGCTAGTTTAATATGAATAGCTAGCACACGATCTTCTTTTTCTTGTCTCCTCTTTCCTATGATTATTTGAAATGCCTCATCTATATGCACCCTCTACACAAAATTTTGGGGTCCTCCTTTTCCACTTCCATTCATGGATTTTTCAACTTTATGAAGCTAGCTTTTTGAACATGACTCCATCCCTTAGAATAGCTGTCCTTCCTTAAAAAACTATTGATGTATAGACACTAGATACCGTTTTTTCGTCTAAACTTTTAGAAACCAGTTGATAAATTTCTTTCTATATTACGACTCTCGACTTTGTGATGGATGAAGCTTGTGTTTGGAAAAGCGTAGGAGCTTTTATAATCCTGTTAAGAAGCACAAACGCCATGTTTGACACTGAAAACCCTTCTGCATCCAAAATCACGATAATAATAAAAGCAAAAATTTATGAAAAAAATCCAATCATCGTGTATTGACAAAAAATAAAATAAAATATTTCACTTTTAATTAAAATGAAGATAATCTAAATTTGAATTTATTAATGCTCACCCAGGTAGACACAAAATATAACATCTAAATTACTTTTGAGCAATTTATGTGAAGGTTGATATGCTCTTCGCACTTGATTTATCGGTAATAGAACACTTAGTGATTATTTAAAAACAATTTAATAAAAAAAAAGGTTAATGATATCAATTAATTTGAGTGGTGGACGTTTTCGATCCGTTATGTTAATGTTAGCCAGAGCTTCCATGGCCATGAGACTGATAGTTTATTAGAGATGTCGTATCAGCAAAGAAAGTGAAAAAGTGTAAACAAAATTATGGATGTAGTAGGATATGGAAGTCCTGCGTTGATTGGTGGAGGAGTTGATCTTCATGCAATTAAGGATTTCCCACTGTTCCTTACTTTTTCATAACCCTTAATAATGCGAAATTTATTATGGTGCAAAGGATCAAGATTTTTCTTCCCATATTAGTATTCATCATCATACTGATAATGATTCACACAGGACGACTAAAAGCAAAATCTCCTCATTTTGATCATTATGACGATGATGCCCTTAACCTTTGTCCCTTGCTTTTGGATTTTCTTGAAATTGCAAGTACTTGAACTCCAACAATTACAGGGCAGCCAATTCACTCGTAATTTCGCTGTCAATCTAAGCTGATCTTCAATCTCAACGTTAGTTGCTTTAGACTTCAGATATTATACATTGGTGTGATTATAGAATTTATAACCGGACATGAACTTGGTAGTAAGTTTGGATATATTTCTTTAATTTGTATGATGGTACACTTGATAAAAAATTGTATACAATAAAAATTTATTATATAGAAATGTTTTATCATTTGTGATATTATATATATTTGAAAATTTATTTTTTTAAAATTTTGTTAAGATTGAAGTTAAGTACGTAGAAGAAAAATATATTTTTATATTAAAATTTTAAAGTGCAATGAATATTTTTTAATAATTGATTATTAATAAGTACTTAAATTGAGGTAAAAATTAGATTTAGTTATTTTTGAATGTCTAAATAAAGAGAGTAACCTGAGCGGGGGTGGTAAAGATAAAGGTTTTGTGTTGCAATGGAATGCAGAGAGGGTGAGAAGGAATCTGGGCAGAGAGACGGTTTTGTTCTTGGAATTTCTGAAGACGAAGAAAATAGGTCTGCAAATTCTGGAGCGAGGACTGTCTTATATAGACAGTATTGTTTGGGGTGGCACTCTCTCGCTCGCTCGCTCGCTCACTCACTCACTCACTCATTCACTCACTCACTGGTGCAATGCAATGCAATATAGAAATAGATAGATAGATAGGTCTGAAATAATAATATTCATAGGGGCTTCTCTTCGCTTGTCTCTTTCACTCTTTTAATACATCACCAAGTCAGGCTTCCACGTGCTCCTGGGGAGTCTCCCCTGTTCCACTACCCTACACACTCTCTCACTCTATGCTTTTTTCAATGCAATTTTCTTATTTCTTTTTCCCTCACTCAATTACACCCTCTGACCATCTGTTCCCTCTCTCTGTCTCTCTCACTCTCTTTTCGCTCCAGCCAGGGGTAGCGCCCCAAACAGAAATATTTGCATGATCCAGATGATGGAAGGAGGGGTCAAAGGAGGAGGAAGGGTTGGTGTTGGTGTTGGCGTTGGCGAGGATCATGACATGGGAGATGGAATGCAATGCAGTGACCATCCTTTTAGAAACAACCCAGGTGGGATCTGTGCCTTTTGCCTTCAAGAGAAGCTTGGAAAACTCGTTTCCTCTTCTTTCCCTCTTCCTATTCGTGCTTCTTCCTCTTCTTCCTCTTCCCCCTCTTTCAGATCCGACATTGCTCCTTCTTCCACCACTCGCCCTTCCTCTTCCATCGCTTCCACGGCACCCCCTGCTTCCTCTTCCTCTTCTCTTTCCCTCTCTGTCAACAAAAATGCAACCCATGCCCATTATCATGAATACTACACGCGCAGAACTCGCCTCCCTTTTCTCTCTGCCAAGAAGAAGAAGAAGAAGCCTTCACCCTCTGCTAACACTTCATCAGCTTCGGGGGTAAACTCTGATATCATTCTCAAGCGCAGCAAATCCACCGCCACACCCAGAAGAGGACACTCCTTGGTTGACGCTGACGATGACGACATAGTCATTGAAGATTTCAGTCCCAGGAAAAGAAACGGGTTTTGGTCCTTTCTCTATCTCTCTTCCAAATCATCCAAGAAACTCAACTCGAAGAGCTTCAGGGACAGCAATGGCACACCAAGGATCTCAGCTATTAACGCTACTGCTTCTGCCAAGCTTAAGGATAAGTGCTGTTCAGGTTCTTCCCTGGGGAGAAAGAGTGACATTGTTGTGGAAGAGGATAACAGCCCCAATACCCACACCACTGCTTCTGCTTCTGCGTCTGCTTCCTCTCTTGAGCGCAAGGTTTCGAGATCTAGATCTGTTGGGTGTGGTAGCAGGAGTTTCTCTGGTGATTTCTTCGAGAGAATTTCCACTGGGTTCGGAGATTGCACTCTCAGGAGGGTGGAGTCTCAGCGTGAAGGTAAGCCTAAGGTATCAGCTGGTGGCGCTGCCATGAACCGTGGCGGGGATCATCACCATCACCACCACCACCATTGCATGAAGGAAAGGGTTCGGTGTGGAGGGTTGTTTGGTGGGTTCATGATGACTTCGTCTTCTTCATCGTCTTCGTCTTCTTCTTATTGGGTTTCTTCTGCTGATGATGCTGTGAATGGGAAGTCAGCGAGTGTTGCACTCTCTCATAGCAGGGGTAGAAGTTGGGGTTGGGCATTTGCTAGTCCTATGAGAGCTTTTACCAGCAAACCCTCTTCTAAAGACAATAGAAGGGATATTATTAGAGACGCCAATGATAAGAATGCCACACCAAACTTGTCTGCTATACCTTCGTTGCTTGCTGTCAGAGGCTGAAGATAAGATGACCGAGAAAATGAAATACCATTTGATGAGGGCTTTAACTTGGTTTATTATACACATTAGTATGATGTTAATTACTGTCACTACTATGTTTATGGATTATGAAAGGGTCTTAAATTTCCTTCATTAGTAATCTAGTACTCTTTTTCATTTTCCACACTTGTTTCTGGATGTTATGAATTATGGTCATCGGCTATGATGGAGCAACTCTCCGGAAATCAGAATGGCAGTGTGTGGTGATGTTTGGCGAGAGGGAAATTGGAGAAGGAAATCTCGACACATTCTCTGTCATCACGTGGCTTGTTTTAATCATGACATTGGTTGTAATTTTTGTAGCTTCTTTCTTGTAATTCACACTGTGATGTTATGCTAGAGACGTGTAATCTTTATTTTCCAAGGTCACTCACTATTCACATGCATACACATGATTGTGTGGTGTAAACAAAATATGGGAATATCTATAGAATCACTCTTAGCTATATATTATGTGTATGCCATTGAGCTTATGTGCAATTTAATAAGTTGTTAATGAATAATGATGTATATTTTTTTTCCCTTGTTGAATCACGCATGATTTTTAACCTTTTGTTTGATTTTAGTTTCCGAACATGTTTCTCCATGATCATTTGTAAAAGGTTCCTTAACTAGTCAAATACACAACATGGTTGGAGCAGTGGTGGTCCCAGGATGGGGATTGGCATTGAAGAACTAGATCTTGTAGTCATGTAGAGCGTAGCATTTATTCAAAGGTTCTCGTTTGCACCTAATTGGCAGTGCTAGTAATTGTTTAACGCATTTATCTCTCGAGTTTTCTATTTGCATAGATAGCTGTATAGACAGCCGGTGGTTTATCCTCATGTGCCTAAGAAAGTGCATAAAGCAGCAGGGCTTTAATAATGGATATTGGCCAAGTATGAACCCCAATAAAGTGTTACTCCGTAATTTAATGCATTTATTTACGTGCGACCGTGTACTGTAACCACTAAGGTATGCTAGTTAATTACAATTTTTTTAAGCATCCATCATAAATTGACATGGACATTTAGGATTTATTAGGGGGAAAAAGGGTTAACAGGTGGAAAAAAAAATGTGTTAGTTAAACGGGTAGGTAACCTAAATAAACACTTGGTAAAATTTCTGGTAATCCCAATTCGTAGCTTTTAGCATTTCTGTAAATCATTAAGCAGTACCAGTCTTTATAAATAAATAGTAATTTTCTTCTGCCATGCTTATATAAACAATATTTAACTAATGAAGATGTCTGTATGACCAAGCCTTTTGAGGAACGCCGAAGCAAGTATAATTAAGATTAACACTAGATGACCGTTGGAGAAACTTTCTAAAATTTATTATAAACTCGTAATCCCATTGTAGATAATATATTTTATTAGAAAAATGGTAAATAAGATAGATGGAAATACATGGTTAACATCGTATGAAATATAGATTAATATTGTATTATAGTTAAACTCTTTCAAACTAAACTATATGAATTAAGGCAGCATGTCAATAGGATTCAAACGAATGCTATGGATTGATATGATCTGAAAATGCACAGCTTACATTATTTGGTAGGATTACAAAGGATGAATGGAAATCCAAAATATTCAGAAGGCCCCGCGTAAACATAACTCCTCCATTTTGACGTGAAATGGGAGGGGGAGAAGAGCTTTAATTATTTTAATTGTCTAAAAAACAAAATCAATTTTTTATAATATATAAAGTATAAAAAATAATTTTATATTATGCAAAATAATATAATAAAAATTCATATTTTAAAATTATTTTTTATAATATTTATTTATTTCACCTTCTACTTATTCAAATAATTATTTTTTTTACTTTTCACTTATTTCTATCTATCGAAATAATGTATATTATTTATTTTTTACTTTTTACATTTTTTTCTTTCTTATTTCTTTGTTTATTTTATTTCTTGTTCAAATAAGGCATATTATGCAATTAGGGTTTATATAAATAAGACTTTGAACGCAGAAACATTGAAATTTTACGGGTCATAAATTTTATTGAAGATCCCCATTATAGAGGTCTCGCAACGGCAAAAAAAATCACTAATATTGCAAAAGAAAACTCATCAAGTTTCTAATTCCAATGCAATATTAAAATATGTAACATTCTAGGATATGGCTACTCTAAAATCAACTAATACTTTACGGGTTAATGTTTCCAAATCTCAGCAGTTAATAATAATGAATGGTAGATTATAATAATAACTCACTTAAGTATATTCATATCAAATTATCTTAATTAAAATTAACAATTATCAAGGTAAAGAAAACTAACTGATACAATTTCCACTTTTTACCCTAAGTTCACTTTTATTATGGAGTCTTAAATGATTAAACAGTATTCTACGACAATCTATTAATATAAAGACTGAATATCCATCGTAAAATATTAACATTATTGTCCCGTTACTTTACTTTCAAAATTCAGCTATAATAGATGCAATAATACTATATTAATACTAAATTAAAAATTGGATAGTTACCTTTAATTGTATTTAAGGAAGAGAGTATTCGAGTATTTCAAGTGGCGATTGGCTCCAAATTCTGGGATTCATTGGAGGGGATCTAGGAGTGGCATAGGAATGAATAACTCATGATGATTGTGGTCTTCTACTCCATGGTAGCAATGAACATGGAGTAAAAAGTGGAAATTGCATCTGTCAAATTTTCTTTTTTATAATTGTTAATTTTAATTAAAATAGTTTGATTTAAATGAATTGCAATTACAATCTATCTTTCATTATCATTAATGGTTGAGATTAACACACTTTAACTTCTAAAATATTAGCTATACTTACCGTTCATTTTTAATGGATGAGATTTACGTACTTTAAAGTTTGGCTTCATTTTGGAAGAGCCATATCCAACATTTTATAACAATCTCGCGCTGCTTGCCAAATCTGTGCGTTAAATACCTAATGGTCTCACCCTCGACAACAATGTTTCATATAAGATTAATTAACAAAAGACAACACCAATACTCAACTTAAAGTAAACAATGGTGAGAATCTATTTCTTAAAAAACAATTACTTCACTGGAAAACTACCATGTGATGATGCGTGTATAACAAAATAAAGCTTATGTTCAATAACTACGTTGAACTCATTTGGACCTGTTTAATTTAATCTAAATAAAAAATCAAAATTTAAATACTACATTTTAATTTACAGATTTAAAACAAACCGATTGGACCAATTTATTTTATCACCTCTAGGTCTAAAACTACTCACTTATAGTTTATGACTATCATTTACATAGAAAGGAATTGCACACTAAATCTCCAATTAAATAAATTAATTCTACCTACATAAATACAATGAAACCTTACCATACTACTATACCTTTATATTGCGTATATTAATTAACATGAAACAGTATTATTTTAGTAAAATTATTTCACAAGAATAAAGATTGTTAATCCAACTGCTTAATTTGAACCGATTTTAATTTATAATTAAGTTAAATTAAGTAATGTTAGTATATTTTTTTTTGTCTAATTCTATCCAGCTATTTTTTCAACAAACTTAACCTATCAAGTTGTTATTTTGTTTGTTGATATTAACTGGGGGATTTGTTTGAAAAAAGAAAGGTAAAATGGAAGGTAAATTAAAATGGAATTGAAACTAAAAAGAGAAAGAAGCGAAGGTGAATGACAGTAGTGAATAAAGGGAAGATAAGATGAGTGGAATCATGATGGGGACACGAGCCTTGATGGGAAAGTACAGAAATGCAATGAGACAGAGGAAAGCTGCTTGGGGCACACTGTTAATGTCACTGGTGGATGCAGATAATTAAGAGGTGGACCAACACCCCCTGTACTTGTAACACAACACCCCCCCCCCTTCCAATTCTCTATGTGGATCATAAATCTATAAGATGTGTCACTCAAACCATCCATTCCCCACCCATCATTTTTTACTCTTTTCCTTTTATTAGCTCTACACTGTCTTCTTTTGCCCTAAAATGGTAAAACAAAACCAACTATGCTACCAAAGCATTCAATTCATAATCCATGAAAAATACAAACACATGGAAACCGTAAAATCATGTTCATAACAATTTGTAGCACTCAGTATTCAGCATTACATTATTTTATTAAAACATAAATATCATACAGCGATTGTTTGTTTATAATATTTTGAGTAAATTTATTTTTTCCTTATAAATAAAAAAAAATAGTAAATATTATGTGAATAAACTAAAGATATAAAACTCATAATATTTTTTTAATTTAGACACGTCATCTTATAAAAAATGACCTTGTAAAGAAAAGAAACATATATTTAACTTGACAATTAAAAAATTTAAAATTAAAATATAAAATTAGTATTTAAAAAATTAAAAAAATAGTAAAAAAATATAAAATTACTGAGTTATAACACATACCATTAGTAATATTGGTATATGGATTACTTCAAGCTAAAACTTCTGGGGAAACATGCTCTAGTTCGATTTAGAAGTTTGTATAGTATAGAGATTCAGGACAGAGTCATTGCACCTTTCTTCCTGGCACCCCCTTCCCCGGGGGTCTACCTTGGTTGATGTTATAAATTTAAGCAATTAGAATAAGCAGAAATGGTAAATATCATTAAATTACGTGTTTAAACTCTAAAGAAAACTTGAATGGTAACATGAACATACGTAGCTGTCGTGAAAGTGGAATAAGGTTGGGTGTGATAAATCCAGACGAAAAACTCTAAACAACGTAAGAACCAAGCGATTAGCCATCTCAACCGATTAGTAGACTAATTCAAATGGCATGGGCCTACGGGCTTGTCCTGTACGTTTATTTAGTTGAACTAATGGGACTCGAAACTAAACTTTTTTCCCTTATGGAGCTTCTATTGACAAGAGTAAAATTATTTAAGGGCCCATGGGCCCACTTGTTCTGAAATTTGGGCTCAGCAAAGGAACGTGGCTTTTCAGATTCTTCAGGTTGTAGGTCCAACCGTCCGAGACAATAGTTCTCTGTCTTTTGGGGAGGGATTTCTACAAAATGACATAAGCTCCTAATTCAACTGTTCATTGCTTTGAATTAGTCCGACCAACTATAAATATCAAAATCCACTAAACTTTGTTCCCCTTTGTTCTATTATTAGTATCACCGTTTATACGTTTCAATAAAAATGTTATTTTTAACATTAATTTAAATATATGTTTAATGGCTTAAAATTAACTTTGTTTTACGTTCAAACAAACAATCCCTAAATTGATTCCAGTTCATTCATACAAAATAAAGTTGGAGGAGCACTGCAGTTTTCGAAATGTGTTCATCCACCACTGTTCCACAAGCCTCCAGTTGTATTTTCTTTTTCAATAAGAAAAAAAATGCAAATTGTGCTTCAGAATTTTATATTTTTACTTTTGCCATATTAATCGTTCAATCTTGTTAGGACTGACTTCAAATAGTTAAAATTACTTGTATTTGCTTTAAATTACTGTTTAAAGATTTGTGTCATTAATTTATTACACTCTTTTTAGAAAAATTTTAAACATTATAAATTTAAGCAAAGTTGATTTATAAAAAGAGCTTTGTGACGGATTAGTAACACACTTCAAACGAAACTAAACCAATAATTATTTAGTGGGACTCTAATTTTCGAATCAGAACAGTGCACTCAGTATTCAACCTGTTAATTCGAATCCTTTGGGTGAATTTATTTATTAATTATAAATATATGCTGAAATGCTAACGTTTTGTGAGTGAAACCTTTGCCGAGTGTGTTTGTTAGCTCCTTGGTTTGTTCATGGAATTTGGCACACGGTGACAACTTGGTATTCTTGCACTCATTGAATCTCTGTTTCACACGAAATATTGCAGATCAGATCAAATTTTCCGGCCATCATTTGTCTCACTGTCTTCAACCCAACACGGCAGCATTATCCTTCCAATCATGACGCCTGATGGGATATGTCAGCACCGTCAAATAAAAATTTATTATTTGTTATTTTTTTAATTTATATTTCTAAATGCATAGGTTTGCAAGATTCTTCAATTTATAATTCCCACTAGATACGGAAGACTTTTTACAATAAATTGAAAATATTTAATTTAGCGATACAATAAAAAAATCATATTTATTTTTATCATTCTTTTCACGATTTTCTTAAACCCAATCGACAAGACAATCCTCAGTATCCATGACCTGGATATAGTTAATCTATCATTAATGCACTGCTTCTATAAATTTACACGGGACTGGACTAGGAGGACGCATTCATCCTTAAATCTCTCATATTGAAATAAATAAAATAATTATTTCCATTCTTATCCAGTTGACCAGATCCTACCCCCATGACACGTGTATTTTAAAATTTTCAAATTGTATTGCGTACTTTTGAATGTGTTGTACAAAGTTTTTGTTTTTCTGGGTGAAATTAAAACTTATTATTTTATTTTTATACCACAAAAGAAAAGGATGAATACCCTTTTATTTAAAGAATAAAATTGTAGAGTGAAAAACAAGAAGAAGCAACAAAATTAAAATTTTCACTACGTACGTTATATTAGTCTAGATAGATTGAAACAAAGGCGCACTGCAATACACTGAACCCATAAGAAACAGAACCTAGTCCTCGCATATATTTTGGGCTTAATAAAAACTTGAACAAAAGGCTACCCTAACAAACCCAAACGAAAGCGAAATATAGGCATCTGAAGGTAGCTATAAACTCCTCTGGGCCCTAGGGGGGTGCTTGAGGAGCATCTGACGAAGCTCCACGGGGTCAATTTCAGGGGTGTGATTGATGGGCCTGTAGAAGCCCGTTACTGGATCTGGAGCCCAAGCCGAGTAGGCCTCTGATCGATCTCTTGCTACGGGCTTCTCCTCCATTCCACTCCTACGCGCAATATTTCCCAATCCAACTCTCAGCGAGACATCAGACGCGGCAGCATATCCTCGTCTGTCAAGATAATATTTCACAAAAATTAATATATAAAATTAAAAAAAATGGAAAAAACAAAAAAATAAAAATGAAACTGACCGATGAAGAGAGATTGGGGAGATAGATTGAGCAACAAGGAGACCAACACGTTTGGCTTGTGAGAGAGAGTGGGCCATTTTATTTAGTTTGCCGCTGCCAAAGCTATGAGAATGCTTCTGCAGCAGCCACCCCCACCCCTTTCTTTCACTCTTCTCTCTGCCTCTTTGTTGGGGTTTGTGTGGCCTTTTTATATTTGCAGAAAAGAGAAGATAGAGATGAGTGAGTGTCTGGGTGGCATTGCTGGGTTGGTTACTTTTACAAAACTGAGGGCGGAACCAACTGTAACCATTTGGGTGGCAACACCTAATTGAAGGTCCCCTCATGCTATGACACCTGTTACTCGCTAAAATACACACTCGTCAACCAATCTATGCTCTATATGACTTTTTTTTTATTTAAATATCAAATACAATTTATAAAATTATATTTTGTATCAGAGAGTTTCGAGAAAATCTAATCCATTATCTCAAATTTCAACGCAATCATAATAAGGATCCAAAAATGACTAAAAGAAATCGGGCCACCCGTCATTATTTAAATTTTTTTATAAGAGTCTACTGCTATATTTTCAAGTCAAGGAGATATTTTTGTAGTAGTTATTCATTTTACGGATAAATTTAAAACATAGTATACGTTAAAGAAATAAATGGAAAGTGCGACTTTTAGGAGACAAATGTTCGTAAAAATGTAGACAATCAATTAAATCATTACTCGAATTAACTCATGCTTGTAGTATAGTAAATGCTTTTAGAAAATATTCAAGCAAAAAGTATTAGTAAGGAAAATAAATAAAGTTATTAGAAAAAAATCATTTGGAGGATTTTATTTTAGGTGAAAATATTATTATTTTCTAAGCATCTAAAGGGCATTTTATAGATTAAAGAGGATATACCTATAATACGGTCAGGTGTAAACTTGTTCACGATAGTCCAATTAATATGACCATTTATATAGCAATAAAAATAATGCGTAAAAGGGTCGATGACTAAAAAGTTTATTAACAAAAAAACACATTAATTTTAAAAATAAAAAATATTAAAAATTTGAAGAGATGCTTTAAAAATCCCGTTAGCAAGTTAGCATTTGGCATTAAAGAATACTTCCATATCCTATATCTGGCTTGTTCGATCATCACGCTCATATGCTCCTCCCAGTGACTGTCGTCGATTTCTGCCCATAACGGACCTTGCCTTGAGCTTGGATTTAGGCTGGGTCTAGTGGACGGCCTACTTTTAAAAAAAAAAAATGTTGTTGGACCTAACTAACAACGAAATAAAAATGGTGATTTTTCGTCTTAGAAAAATAATAGCTTTGACGAAAAAAATAATAATTTGAAATATACACATTTCCATGATAACTTAAGAGGTTTTCTTTTCCCTCTAACCGGTTGATTTTGGAGTTAAGCACGTTCACCCAATAAATCCAACTTAACCCAACAAATAAAGGTTTGGTACTTGAGACGAAGCAAATCAGAGGAACTGTTACACACATATAAAAAGGAAATTCATTCCGCAATATATGATTGTAAAACACGATATAAATACAACAACAAAAAATATATCTTATTCCCATAGTAGGGATACTGTTTATTAATTCGCTGCCAGACGTATACAAATCTCATCAAATGACTAATACATAGATATCTAACATAATTCAAAATGAGCTAATTTTTGTTATATATAGGTTTATTTTCACGAAGTTTCTTCTTTTAATTATGGTTTCTACCTCACTGTTTATCTACGATGCAGATGCACCTTTGGTCCCAGTGGCTTTTGAATCACCGAATAATCTTTGGCGGAAATCAGTGACCATTAGAGGAAGTCCCTCACGGAGGGACACAGAGGGCTGCCACCCAAGAAGCTCTTTTGCTTTGGAGATGTCTGGCTTCCTTTTATGTGGGTCATCCTCTGTGTTAGGTCTAAACTCTATCTTCGCATTTGGGTCTATGGTTTCTTGTACCACCTTCACAGACAAAGAGTACATAAAGTTATTCTACATATCACTGTTTAATGGGAAAATATTTTTATTATCTTCGTAGCGTTATACGAAGAATCATGTGATTTCAATATCATTTTCTCACAATAATTTATACATCAAGGAGTAAGACATGAAAAGAAGAGTGTAAAATAAGGTGAATGGTGTGATATAAAGAAATAAGTGTGAGAATTTGGCTTAATTAACATTTTAATATCCTAAAAGTTGAGAAAAAAAAAAGTATAAAGTACCTGAGCAAGTTCAAGCATGGTGAATTCACCAGGGTTGCCAAGATTGAAAGGACCAACATGCTCACCTTCCATCAGCCGCATTAGGCCTTCTACCTGTTATGTACAGATCCACGTTTAAGCCTTTTTTTTTAAATCGGTTTCTACTTTCTATAGTCACCTTAAGTTATGCGTACTGGGACCACTTAAGTCTACGCGGCACTCCCAATAACCTCCTAACCCATATAATATATGCGGCCATGCATATGCAATTCCAAAAAGGTTATTTGTGTTATGTATTTCCTAGTTTAGACAATCATATTTCTAACACCATTTTTGTTATTTAAATATAAAAAATCAATTTATATATAATTGTCTTTGACTCCTTTTTTTTACATTTATTTAAAAAATATTTACCACTATCAAAGTGAAACACTATTTTTTTTTTTTACTTTAATGATACAAACATTTTCTTACAATACAATGCTATTGTTGATATTTATTTAAACTTCGTTGAAGTTTGAAAATCAAATGTAAATAATTACATGCTTATACATGGTGAAAAAGCAATTCAAAATAATGTATCCGAAACAAAAATTTATATAACACATCAGTTTTCAATTTCTAGTTAGTTGGAAAAAGTCTAATACAAGGCACACTTATTCGGGTAACATAAAAAAAAAAGTAAACTTAGTAAATGTCGATGGTACGTGGAAATTTGGAATGGAGTAAGAGTTATATTATTTGTATAGTAATTGTTACAATATTATATATATTATTAATTTTATTTCTTTTTATTATCTTAATTATGATATTTATCTTTTCTCTCTTCTTATTTCAAAGTATTTACGTCCCAAGAAATGTCTGCTAGACTAATTTCACTATATCAGTACAATTTCTCTCATTGATACAGTTCATGTCGAACAGCTTCTCAAGTTCACCGTATTGATGAAAGTAGGGGGAAAAATAGAAAGATAAGTCAGAAATCTTAAGTTCAATTATTTTCTTAGAAAGTGTACCATGTTTGCCATCTTTAGAAGAATTCTCGTTCATATCTCACTCTTCAATAATAAGACACATATTGATATATATTATATGACCTTTACGTTACCTACATAATATATTTTTCAGTATTTCATTTAATAAATCTTGGAATGCTTAATAAATTTCTTGATAGTGAGAAAAGGTACATATGGGATGAGAAAGCTTACCAAGTCAGAAACATATTGGAAGCTTCTTGTCTGTTTTCCATCGCCGTACACAGTCAAAGGCTCCTTCCTCAACGCCTGCACATAGTTTTAACATAATTAAAATAAAACAGCGTGCAGTGTGGCAAAGTAACAATTAAGTAGAGATAAAACTTTACCTGAGCAACGAAGTTACTGACCACACGCCCATCGTCAATGCACATTCTAGGTCCATATGTGTTGAAGATTCTAGCAATCCTCACCTACACAAAAATCATCGTCAACCTCTAAATTTGCATGCATATATGTCCGCAATTGCGTACCATACATAAAATACGATAATGTGAACCAACCTCAATACCAGCGCCTCTGTGATAGTCCATGGTCAATGTCTCTGCAGTGCGCTTTCCCTCATCATAACAGCTTCTTACACCTACACCACCGCCATGCATCATGCATTGGAAATTGATAAAACAAAAGATGCAAGATTCGAAAGAGTAATTAAAGCACTACGCTTTACCAATGGGATTAACGTTGCCCCAGTATGTCTCAGCCTGAGGGTGTTGAAGTGGATCACCATAAACCTCACTAGTGCTAGTAAGCAAAAAACGAGCACCGACTCTCTTTGCCAATCCCAACATGTTGAGCGTCCCCACCACATTGGTCTTGTGGACTCCAACACCAGATAAGAATCAAGGAATATTCGAATTGAAAACAATAATCCATAGAAATCAACCATATGCATCGAAAAAGATTAAGAGTAAAAAAAGGATATGATAGTCTTGACAGGATTGAACTTGTAATGGACAGGGGAAGCGGGGCACGCCAAGTGGTAGATCTGGTCAACCTCAAGGAGAATGGGTTCAACGACGTCGTGGCGAATGAGTTCGAAGTTGGGGTTACCCATGTGGTGGAGCACGTTCTCTTTCCTTCCCGTGAAGAAGTTATCCACAACGATCACGCTGTCACCTCTTTCCATCAAACGGTCCACAAGGTGGCTTCCAACGAAACCTGCTCCACCGGTAACCAGTATCCTCTTCGGCTTCTTGCTTTTCAACCCCAAAGGGACCCTTCCCTTCTTCTCCTCCAAAAGAACTCGCCGAGTCGGCAGAGCCAACTCGGTTTCAAGGAACGAGTCATGTTGGGTGGCAGCCACTATGGACGCAGATCGAGAGGGGAGAAGGTGGAAGAAGAAAGTGGCGATGGCCACGCCGATGAGGAGGAACGGCACTCGCTCGCGAAACATGTAGCCGATCCGGTTCGCTGATTTTGGCGCTGAATTAGAAACACGCGGCGAATTTGAGGTGCGATTGTGGTGGGGTTGGGGTTCTCTTGTTTGTGCTCTGTGAATCAGCTCAGAGCTCATTTTTTCTTACAGTGTTTTGTGAATCGAGGATGAAGATGAAGGTGGTCTCGATTATTATTGTGATTGTGATTGTGAGGCATGAACTTTGGCTTTATAATCGTTCCAACGTGCGCGGAATTGGTGCCTTCTCTTTCTTCATTTTGCAAATTTGAGGTTTCCATTTTCCCCTTTTTTTATTACAAGTCCATGACTCGTGAGGAGAGGGAGACACACACAATACTTGGCGCATTCTCATTTGTTACCAAATGTTTTTGTGTATAAATTGTCAGAGATGGAAGCCAAGTGGCACGTGTTGACCAATATTTGGTGATACGTATACCCGCATCATATGATCTTACATCCGCGCTAATTTTGCATCGTTTCTCTGTTCAATAAGTTGGAATAATAAGTTTTATATATAGTAAACTTTTATTAAAAGTTATAAAAATTAATATAATTCAATGCATTAATATTATTATATACTAAATTTTTAATAAAATGATCATATAACTTATAATTTCATAATAATGAGTACTCAACAAAAGTTTTTAGAAAGAAATCTCACAAAAAAAAAAAATACTATTAAAAAATGTCATTTTTATCCGTATGTAATACAAACAGATTTATAGATGGATTTGTAACTTTTTTTTTGTAATTTCTGAAAAATCTGTCTATATTACAGACGAATAAAAATTCATCTGTAATATTCGTCTATAGTTTGTCCGTCATTTGACGCAGAAAAATATAAACAGGAATTATAGACAGATTTTTTTGTCTATAATTTGAAAATAGGAAAAAAATTTGGAGCGTGAGTTACATTAAACTATTTACAGACAGATTTTTGTCTGTAATGTCTGAAACCTATAAAACCACGTCTTCCTCTTCCCCTTCCTCATTTTTCATAAATCTCTCTTTTCCTCTCGCCTTTCTCTGTCTCTCTTTCTAGGAGCTCATTTTTGTGGCCTTTGTGAGTGATTGGAGCATCCGTTTGAAAGATAATTTGCATCATTGTATCCCTGGTATAATGCTCTAACTTTTAATTAGTTTATTTTTTTATTTTTGATTTATTTTAGAGACTTAAAATTTCTAAGATAGAGTTGTAGGATTGAAGATTGTATGACTTGGGGAAGGGCGTAGAAGTCCTTCTTTGAACTTGATTATTGTGTGTTGTGGGATTGTTTGTATTTGTGTAGTTTGTAGAATATGCATGTTGTGGAGTTATAAGAGGATGTGCTATAGAACGGTTTAGTATTGTAATGTGTAAGTTTTTAATGCATTGATTAATAGATTGTTATATAATATATAGATTATGTGTAAAGAAAATTTAAATTTTTATATTAAGTACATGTAAACAAATGTAAGAAAATATTAATATATTGTTATATAATATATAGGATAACTATGTTCAAAGGCTTAAGAAGACATCTTATCAAGATCGGGGTCAGTTCATAAAGATACTATATGGTCAGAGACGGTAGGTGGCCTTTATAAAGGCCGCATTTACGGTATAGGGAGCTGCTTTGCAGATTCTATGTCTCCTGCATTTGTCACCGGAGATACTCCTTCTCTTGTTCCTAAGGAAGTGAAAAACATGGTCCGCACTCAGGTTCATGCCCTCAATGAAGAACTGCATAAGCAAAATGAAAAAATGTGGAAGAGTAAGGAAAGTGCATAGAAGAAGAAGTGGGCGAAGAAAATGGAGAAGAAGATAGAAAATAAGGTGGCATCGAGGATGCAGAGAGAGGTGCAGCATATGCAGATGCAGCAGATGCATGCATACTTTGAGCTCATGAGAGCAAGCATCTCTACACCTCTTCCTCCTCCTCTTCTAACACCACCAATCTTTAGCTCCATGTGTCATTTCTCTTCTGACTCCTCTTCTACTGATGACCATACTTTTTCGGCAGATGATCACACCGATTATTAGTGATATACAATGTTATTTTATTTTTTATATTATTTTTTTAGATGTTTACTTCTTCATTTGTAATGAAATTTTAATTTTATATTTTATAAATAATTTTTCATTTTTAAATATATAATTTTATAGTTTTTATTATGTTTATAAATTTGTGATAATTAGGAACAACGAGAAATAATTATGTTTATAAAAGAATGAAACAATTTTTTTTTAAAATTTCACAAATGAATTACAGACGGAAAATCCGTCTATAATTTACAGACAAATTTTTCTATCTATAATTACAGAAGAATTTTTCCATCTGTAAATTACAGACAAATTTTTAAATATGTCTGTATTTATTTACCGCGCATATTACAGACGGACTTAAACCATCTGTAAATCCGTCTGTAATGCTAAAATCTGCGTGTAATAATAAAAAATTTCATCTGTAAATCTGTCTATATTTTTAGGTTTTCTAATAGTGAAACTTCTGATCAACCAAAGCATATCATCAAATTATTTAGTGTTGAGAATTAAAACGAATATGTTAATTTTATTTGTTATAACTAGTTGAATTGAGACGATCTGATTTGCCCACTTTGATTTTACACCAGAAAATATTTATTTATTTAAAAAAATGTAATTGAATGAAAGGGGTGGAGGAGGTGTTAACGGCAGATAGCACCGGGAACTGGCAGTGATATGTGGCGAGTATCCCATCTGGTGAAGGCGGAGATTAATTGTAGCGCACTGTTTCCAAATGCACGCAATTTTTTTTATCATAGTAACAAGGAACATCTTACACCACAAAAGAGTTCATATATTTTAATTTTATATAAATGAACACGTATGTTGGAGAACTTCACAATCAGTTTTCTTGAAAGTAGAAATTGTTACTACATGCATGCACGTTATATGATGAGAAATTCTCAAGCGTATTATTACTATAGTTCCTGAAATTTTTTGGTCAACTGTTTTCATTTCATGTATACTTAACAGAAGGGGTTTTTTACATAAATAAAATAAAAAAATTTAATATTACATATATACACCAAAATAAATTTTTTTGCATAAATGTCCTAATTTAAATTATATAAAAGTCAATTAAAATCAACTTAAATATTAATACACAAATCGAATCAGGTATATATAAAAATCAATTTAAATCGTTTCTCATGTCGTAATGAAAAAGTTCAATAAATTATATGACTATCATATCAAACTTTAGGAGATGAAATATTACTCTAGAAGTCCATAATCAATCGGATGTTTTACGTGGAATTATGTGGATATGAGTCTGAAATGCACGTTTTATAGCAAAATAAGCCACATTTCAATTTGCATAATGTAAAAAGCAAAATAAATTTACGATTCCATGAAAGTGCAATTGTATGGAAGAGCTGAAATCTCACATGGTATATTACTTGGCCAGCAACTGCACCACTGTTGACCAGAGCAACAGGTTGAATGAATCTGCAGAAATCCAAACATCCTATTAAACTTTATGGCATGAAATATAATGCCATACAGAAGTATCAAAAGAGTAGATGATCGGCAAAACTTATATGAAAATGACAAATTGAAGGGTAATAATAATTTTCTTCAAATAAGCAACACTAACAGAAGTTTGATATCCTGCACTGAAAATGGTTAAAACTACGAAAGATCCATAGAAGCCACATTATTTAAGTTAATGACTTTTGGTCATTGTTGCCAAAAAAGCCATAGCAGGTAATTGGGGTATCCATAAGGATATATGCTAGTATAGAAATTTGGTAGATAAATGTTCCTATCAGCCTTAGAGCCAAGGCTCTCCTCTGAGAAATAGTTCTCAGCCTTACAAAACAGAAAAATATGTATAGCAGAAACTACCCATAATAAAAGAGTTATGTGCTCAGTCAATAACTGGTTGAGCGATTTGTCTACATTACTCCATAAGAACTTGTGCTAAGAGAAATATGCTTAATAGGAACTTGTGCACCCTGAATTTTCAATTACAACTTGCAAGAGCTTGTTTTCTTGACCTATATGTGCAGACAAATTTAGACGATTGGGGTATGCACTATTGTGTCCGTCACACACATATGGAGGAGGGTTGAGAGCATGGCGGGGATGTTGGTAGGACCACCTTAGCCAATAAATTAAAAAACTCATAAAAGGGTTGAATTGAATTGGTTGTTCGTCTGTTATGGACTTTTCATGCATTGCTTTCCAGATAATTGAGGCCTTGTCCATAGGATCAACACTTATAACAATTCTATATCTTTCACGATTTTTTTTAAATTGAAAGTAAATTGTAATCAATTTTTTTATATAACTGAAGTCGATTATAATCGACTTTTTTATTACAATATGAAAAATAATTTAAATTAATTTGTGTATTAATATTATTAAAGTCAATTTTAATTGAGTTTTATGTAATTTAAATTATGATATTTATATAAATTTTTTTATTTTTGTATATATACGTAATATTAATTTTTTTTATTTATGTAAAAAACCCTAATAAAAGTTTATAAATAACTAATGAAATTTATTATATATTTTTCACTTATTTAAAAAGAAAGTATGTTAACAGGCTAATTATTTTTGGGGAGAAGAGAACATTTCGAGTAAATATTCTTTAATTTGATAATTGTTAAAATAAAATAAACAAATGATAGAGTGCTTAGATTTAATTTAAAAACAAAATATAGTTTTTCCTTCCTTTCTAAAGTCATGCTCCTAAACATACCTTGAAATACTGTTTTTTTTTTTTAATAATTAAGAGTGTATTAGCCTCATGAATCTTAATATACTTATACTTATTTTAAGAAAGAATATTTATAAACTACAATTTGAGTTTGTTAAGATACTTGTAAAAGTATAATTATTAATGTTTTTTTAAGTATACAAAAATTATTATTTTTAGATGATAAGTAAGAGTGTATTCAGCATAAACATCTTTATAGTTAATATATTAACACTTTAAATATAAAATTACACGTAACAAAATTATGCTAGTATATATTAATTAATGTCAACGGTAATATGTTTATTATTTATTTACTTAACATGATTATTTGTAGTGACATTATGTTTAGACAGAGAAAGTAGAAAGGAAGGAGATAAAATATAAACGAAATTATATTCTATTTCCTTCCTTTTTACTTTTCCTGTCTAAACATAATGTTAAAACAAATAAAATTTTATATTGTTTGGTTTGAAAAAAAAGTACACAAGAGAAAAAAAGTTTCTGATTATCTATTTGTTTAGTTAAAAGAAAAAAAGAAAATTTTGGTATAAAACTGTGTGAGCTAATTACACCGGGGGTTGCAACAATACCTATACACAACATCTTAATAGTTAAAATTTAGACCAGACAAGTATACACGAATATTATATAATATATTTTTTATACCAATAATATCTTTATAAAAGTAATGTAAAAACTGAAGGAATGTGACAAATATTTTAATTTTCATTTACATTTTAGTCGTAGAAAACTGACAAGTATTTCGCAACAGACAATACAAACGGAAATAGGTTAAATATCGTTTTCACGTCAGATATGCTCAAAATCATAATTAAAAAAAAAACATGACAAGTATTACACAGACACCCACGAAAGTATTTACACTGAGAGAGAAAAATAAATAAAAATAATATATAATAAAAAATATACTGTGATGTTAAGAATGAAATAAAAAAGTGTTATATAAGCGTTGAGACTATTTAATTAGTGTCCATGAATCATAATTAAAATATTAATTTTGAGGCATGAGTCAGCAGCTTACGGCAGTCATTTCCAGCTTTCACTTTAAGTAAATAAATAAAACAAACTGATCACAGAACAAAATAATAATAATAATAATAATAATAATAATTGGACTGCAATACAAAAGAATCAAACATACCATGTAGCTAGCTGGTTAGAGATTAAGTGAGCTTCGGTAGCTATTATTTAGTCACCATCTTATTTAACGTTTTAAAAACAAATGCGCAATTTTGTTGATTGAACGCGAAAATTGAATATACAACTGTTCACTTAAGGATCCCAGAGATTGATTATTAGCACACATTATACATACACAGCTTTCAAACTCACGCATCATGATTTATAAAGAGCCTTTTTTTTCAAGAACTCTTCAAAGAGAGTTTACTTACACTGAAAAATGAAAACTCACAGCCATTCAACTAAAATTTCACGACATTAAGATTTGTGAAAGTCAACTCGCAATTGCAAACAAGCAAACTCTTAATTAAGTTATGTGAATTAAGCGTCGACAATTTGGTTTGACAAAGACTTGAATGTGGCTCATTCGTCAAGGTTTGATTTGACGTATGATGAGTAAAATATTACCATTACACTTGAAGATGATAGTAGATCTAAAGAGATTTAATTGGGGGATTAACACTGATATGGGCCAACTTGGAAAACCCTAGAGTTGAGTCCATAGAGGTCCACAAGTCACAACTCAACACGCAACCACTCGTTTTTCTCTCCTTTTTATTTTCTCCCTTACCCTTAAGCACATGCCATGCAGGTTCACTCACTGTTCCCCACACAAGTTAGAGTCAAAAAAAGAATTGAAAATAGTAGATGTACGCGTCCCCAAGCACACTTATTTTAAGGCCACAAAACAAAAAGAGAATACATAAATTTCATTGCACCTAATACAGTACGAATAATCACATACCCTTTGAAAAGAAGAAGCTCATCAGTGATGATACAAGAAAGACAACAAGGTGGGGGTGCACCCCATGGCGTTCTTCTTGCAGTGGTGGTAGTAATCGTGGTCATAGTGCCCTTTCTCGTTGGGGATCAAGGGGAGGCCATTACCGAAGCTATATCGGAGCTCCTAAGCCCGTTGGGTCTTCTCCTTCTACCCATCATTCTTCTCCTCACCATACAGTTCCTTTCCTCCGATCGTGGCTCTTTCATCTCCACCCTTTTTTCCACCGGCGAACCCGACACCATCCACCGGGTCAGCGGGTCGCCCTTCGGCGTTGCCCTCTTCCTCATCCTCATTCTCTTCCTCTTGTACAACCGGGTCTCCATCTTCGGCGGCGATGATTCCGATGAATGAAACGAGGAGTGCTTTGTTTAATTTTTGTGGATCTGCCTTTCACTTTTGTTTTGTACACGCTCGCACGCACGCTGGCTATTGTATATGTAGATGTATGTATGTACCTATTCTTTTTTAATTGCATGTATTGACATGGAATTGTGGGGAATGGTAATAACAAATTCATGAGAATAGAAGGTTGAAGTTGAATTGCTTTATTTTTTTTGCCTTTTTAGTTTCAAGTACCAAACAATACTATTTTTGTGCCGCGCCCTTCCACATGTATGTGAATTTTTATGTTATGTTTTGTTCATAGATTATGTTATTTGTGCAGAATTTGGAGTTTCTTTAAATTTAAACGATTCAACTTGAAAACACAAATCCATGGAAAATGTTGAGGGAAGGAAAAGTTGATTTTGAATTTGAACATTAGAAGCTGAGATGAGACGAGATCTGTGGTTGTAGGTGCGCTTTCTGGTGCTTTTTGGTTTTTGTTGTTGACCTTTCTGATGGTACTTTAATTTGCAAGACGCCGACACCGTACGCTGAAAGCGTGTTCTCGTGCCCAGGGGTTCCTACCTCCTTTTCTTTCGTTTACAGAAGGAAAATGTAAATGTCATTTTTTACCTTTTTATTATACAAAAAGGATATATAAAAAAACGCCCTTCTATTTTTTTTAAATTTCTCTTATAGTTGATACAATAAACAGTTTGATGAATTTTTATGATATTTATTTATACTTATATTTAAAAAAAAATAGGATTAATTGACATTAAATATAAATCTAAAAGATTTATATCAAATTTTAATTATACAAATTAAATAATTTAATAATTAAAAAGTATATTTGATGTCAACCAATCTTATCTCATTTAAAAAATATATGTGTTAGGGTAAGTTTGATTTCTATTTTAAAAACAGGAAAACAAACTCTCTCTTAGTATACATATATATATTTTTTCTTTTTTTCTGGGCCGCAATTCTGTGTGTGTATGTTAGAAATTGAAACTGGAAAGCTTATCATATATTTGGAAACACAATATGAGTGGCTCCAAAGCTTAGATAGAAGGGTCCATGCTACGAGAAGAGAATATTTCGGCTTGCCCCACTCCCACTGTATTTTGTTAGCCCTGAAGATCTCTTTAACGGTAGATAGTAGGGATCTCTTTAACGCTTAATCGAAATAAAATTTATTTAAGTAGATTTAGCAAAAATTAATTTTAATTTAAGTTAAAAAAATTTGTTTAAGCAAAGTTAAAAAGTAATTTTTGTTTAAATAAAAAAAATTAGCTTAAGTCAAAATTGTAAAAAAATTTAAATTTTTTTTTAAACTGCAAAAAAATTAAGAAAACTATCTAATTACTAAAAATTCTTATATATTTTATCCTACTAAATATTCTAAATACATTATCTAGGTAAAATCATGTGGAATCAAGTTAAATTATTAAGAATAATGAAAAGAATTATAAGAATGATAACTTTGAGAAATTTATTAAAAAATAGTTGTATTATTACATATTTTGAAACACTTAAATTTTTATTGTATGATTATAAAGTGTGATCACATGATCTTTTATAAATATTTTTTAACTTTTTTACAGTTTAGAAAAAAAGAAAAGAAAATTTTGAAAATTTTCACAATTTTAATTTAAGTCAATTTTTTTTTGTTTAAACAAATTTTATGCCTTAATCCAAAATTATTTTTTATTAAATTTATTTAAACGAATTTTATTTCTCTTAAGTGAATTTAAACTAAATGTTGTGTAGTTTACTACAGAGGAGTCCTCATTTAATAACTACTCACTGACTGATACACTCATGCTCTGATAGTAACTTAAAAATAATCTCAATACCCCTGATTTATGTTTTCAAATTAGTGATTGAAAACTATTAAGGATTATTATTTCACCTTAACACGGAACCTCTTCACAAGTTTTAATCCCAGGTTATGTTTTGAAATACTAGTTGATATTTTTTATGTATGGTTCCGTATTATGCGAAGAATGTAACTAATAAACTAGCAAACGTCTCATTCTCAATCCTTCTTTGTTTCTGGTTTATGCTTTTGATTTGAGATGTCAGATGGGTAGCTTACGGTATTAAAGAGAGACATTGATTCAAGATATGGGTGTAGGAATCATCTTTGCTGTGAAGTCACATGAAGGATCCAGATATGCCAGGGAGAATATGAATCTTGCTAATACAAAGATCCACAATAGACGCTGACAAGTGTCTCCTTCTCATCATGCCATGTGAAGAAGGAAATGGTTACTACTAACTCCGGGAGGCATGGTTAAATGGATAATTGAATTCCTGCTCCCTCAATCTATTTTGAATTAGATTCCTACAACAAGAAGATGAATGGGATGAAGCAGAAACAGGAGGTGAGGGAATGGACATTTTAAAAAAAAGTTAGAGTTGAGAGGTTGCCCATATTAAAACGGTACTAGACAACAACTATTGTCTTTCGTTTCTCTTTAAAATCTCCAAACTTTAAGTACAAAAAAGATTAACACAAATCGGACCAAAGAAGCATTTAGCCTCACGAGTTGTTCCTCTGATTTTTCCAAACAAAAACACGGTAGGGGTACTACTCCCAGCAGACATGAAACATGGATCTTCTCCAAAATTTTAGTGGGACTATACTCTTTTTTTCCTTTGATATTTTAATAATTTTACTTTGTTTAATTTTTATCATAATTTTGTAAAATTAATGAACATTTTTACTCGTAATAATAAATTTGTTTAATAGAAAATAATAAATAAACAAAATACTAATTGATATGGCAGATAAAAGATATAAGAAAAAATAAGAAATATTTTTTTATAAAATTTAAAATACTAAGTATTTTTTCAATTTAACTCTCCATTTGTCATTCTGTACCATAGTCATCATAGTGTCAACCTAGGATTCTAGCAATCGAGGATAAAGCGATTTAGTGTTAGGGAACACCATGTTTCCGAAAAGCAATATCTTGTCCTGAATAAAATCGATCTAAAATTAAATGTGTCCACGTTGTACCAAATTTCGAACAGTCTAATTAAATGCACTGACTAACACTTTAGACGTTACCATTCCACAGTTATCATAATATAGAAATTGATTCTTATAAAATGAAAATTATACTTCGAAGCAAAAATAATTGATGGAAAAATTAACTAAAATTGTAAGAAAATGCAGACACGCACAGCAAATCATAAAATGTTAAAATTCATTTCATTGATTTTTCATTCAGAAATTATTTGATACTTTTCTCAATAAAATATGTTCTCCACTTTAAAATGGTCTATGTAATAAAAAAAAATAAACTTTTGAAATGTAGTTATCATAGTTATTCTTTTTAATAATATGGCAATAACAGACTAGATTGTAGAATTAAAAATAAAATAATTTCCACTTCAAATCCAATTTGCAAAGGCATTTGGACATAATATCACACAAGGAACAAATATACATTTGAGTAAATTTAATTTGAATATCCAACAAAAGATTCGTTGATATAAAGTGAACAAAAACCTTTTAAACTATACTGCTAACAAACACGAGAGAAATTACATCACGAACATACACATCATCACTGAATAAGAGAAACCAAGCCTTTTAACGGGGTATTCTCTTTCTACTAAGTATCTCTTGTTCTTTTAGTCGATGTTGGAATCTTGCCAGGCGAGCTTGAAGACTGACGAGACTAGCTGCTTTGCGAGAAAGCACAAAACTCAACTGGGTTACGTAGTTGTCAATAAGACTTCCTGGCTGGTCCACTTCTGCCAATAGTTTCATTTCCTAATAAACAAAAAGCAATACAATATGAGCTCCAACAAGAAAATAGTCTACAACTAGAAAGTGTTAAAATATTTTCCTAATATTACTAAGAATCCAATCAAACCGCTGTATCAAAAGCTGCATTGCATTTCAAACACAAAATAGAGATAGTGAAAAGTTAAATAAGCGCGAGATGTTTCAATACCAAAATAACTAAGACGACAAATGATAAACTAGTGTGACACATAACCATTATTCAACAGGCAACAACTATAATGATTCAAATGCTCTTGGTTATACGAGAACAGCGGAAAAAACATATCAAACCATTCCTAAAAACCCTCTCACCTTCCGAAAAGCAACAACGTTGTTACAGGACACACATATAACTTTCTTGCATCAACATGCAACGGCATGAAAAACAGAAAGTTGAAGGTTTGATGTCTCATCTATAATAATATTAATTTATACACGTGCCTTACTTAAAGATTTGGTTTCATGGTGTTTTCAATATATAAACCTTAAACTAAAGGTGGGATGTTTGCAGGATGCAAGTGGTCTATTTAAAGAGTTTAATTTTCGCTATAATCACCGCAAACTTAATGTGACCTAACAAATAGCAAATAGAAATTGAATTTCACAATGTTAACGAAAAAGTTGTTATAACTCACTTCGCGGACAATCTCCATTGTGTCCTCAATTTCTTTCCTGTGAGCTGCAATTAATGCTTCTTCCTCCTGCAGAAATATAACAGAGAAATTTAACAGATACTCCTAAGTTTTATAGTCAACTCTCAAACTGGAGGAGGGTAGTTCCAAATATTTGACAAACCTCAAGTATCGCACTGATATTCACATCAGGAGGAGAGGATTCTGTTTCAGGCTGCCTAGATCCAGTGGTAACTGTGTTATAATTTCCTGTGCTCTGGTGCTTGGAGCTTGTGGGGAAGTGATCAGAACCATTGGCATCTCTTTTTAGCCAATTTGCAGATCTTTCAGATTTCTCCTCCTTAGACCCTTTTCTGCGTGGTGGAGACACCTTTTGCACTTTCTCATCTGTATCATTTAGGGAATAAGAGTTCATCTTTTGACTGGTAGAATCACTGTAAGAATTCTTCACTTCGAACCTGTCCCTGTCCATTGAGGCAGAAGCCAGGCTTTTTTCCTCCCGCCCATTGAATGGATAACTGGATGAAAAACTTGATGGTTGTTTGTCAACATCAGCACCAGAGCTGTACAGAAAATTTTCCTTCTCAATAACTTTCCTGCTGATGTCCATGGCTTTCACCTCCTGACGTTGACCATTAAAATCCTCTGTTCCAACACTAGCTGGAATGGAAGATGTGGATACCTCTTTATTCATTGGTGGTACTGGATTTGGGGCCTGGTCCTTTCTAGGATTTCCACTCTTAGATAGACTTTTAACTCTGTTCACATTATGAAAAAATGGTTAATATATGAAAACGAGCATGCACATGGACATAATCTTATGCT